AATCTGCACCGCCGCCGTGAAAATTATAAACATCAGTGACGACGATGACAACGACTACCACGACGATGACGTTTTAGTAATACACTCAACTCAAAAAATTCCAAGGCGTAAGCGTAAACGAGCTGTACGGACAAACTTTGAATCAGTTCGTTCAAATCGCAGCCGTACTGGAACGGAAAAAGTCTTAATTGAAATATCCGATGGTGAAATTGAAATTTTATTGAATAATTCAAACTTCATATGTGAGATTTGCATCGATGAGAAGCCAATGACGGAAATTTTTCAAATTATGGGTTGTAATCATTCTTACTGTAATCAATGTACTGTCAATTACATAGCCTCAAAGCTACAACAGAACATTCCACAAATTTCGTGCCCTGTTTTGGGTTGCAATGGGAATTACGAACCTTATTATTGCAGATCGATTCTTCCTAAACAAGTTTTTGATAGATGGGGAGACGTGTTATGCGAGAGGATGATTATGGATTCTGAGAAATTATACTGTCCTTATAAAAATTGCTTAGCTCTTTTGATCCATGAAATTCGGGAAAAATATATGGTGAATAGTCATTCAAAATGTCCGGAATGTAAGAAATTGTTCTGTGCTAATTGTAAAGTTCCATGGCATAAAGGGATTTCGTGTGAAGAATTTAAGAAACTGCAAAAAAATAATGAAACGGGTACGGAAGATATGTTGCTTATGAAGCTTGCAAAGCGCAAGCGATGGCAGAGGTGTCCAAAATGCAGAATCTATGTGGCTAGGAATAAAGGTTGCGCTCATATAATATGCAGGTTAGTTTCGAGTTTTGATTTTGTAGTCTTTTACAAATATAATTATATGTTATATGTTTATAAAATGAATTGAGTTTTAATTTTATAGTCTTTTACAATTATAATTATATATTATATGTTTATAAAATGAATTGAATTTTGATTTTGTAGTCTTTTACAAATATAATTATATTTTATATGTTTATAAAATGGATTATGGAGGTTATATATTATATGTTTATAAAATGGATTATGGAGGTTGGTTTCAAGTTTTGGTTTTCTATTCCTCTACAAATATTAGATGTTTATAAAATGAATTCAGAAAGTTGAAGATGTTTATAAAATGAATTTATAAAGTTGATATTTATGAGTTTAGTATTATGACGGTTTTGATTTATTGTTCTGAGTTAATACTCACATATTTAATATATTTTGTTAACATTTCGTTTGGATGGTTCTTAACTACCATATATTATAATATATGGTATTGTGTTTTATTGTATGGTATGAATACAACATTCGATAATTTTATCGTTCATTCTCATTCTGAGAACTTTAGAGAAAATAGTTTTTAAAAATCCTAATAAAATTGATTTTTGGAAATGTTTTTCTCGAAATGAAGAGAATGAAGTGGTTGACATACAAAAATACTAGGTGATTTTTGATGGACAAAGTTACATATTTATATTGCTAGTGGGAGGTCGATATGCGTCTTGTAGAATTAGTCAAGAGATGCGAAAGATTACCCAAACACTAGGCCTAACTTTTGGTTTTTTATATTTTTTAATTTTTGAGATAGAAAGTTATTTCTAGATTTATGGTCATAAGCTAGACTATTTAAATATATATAATATAACAAAATATTTTTTAATCTTGTGGTTTTAAACATGTTATGTGGAAGTTAAATTTAAAAATTTAACATTCTTTAATACTTCGAAATGTACTAAAAGAAAGAAAGACACAATATATTATTTTTTGGTTGAAAAAAGCTTATAGTAATAATTCTATAATTACTAAAAAAATTGGGGCCATCAAATTTGGGGCTAAGACATATGCCTGATTTTTTTAAGGCATTGAGCCGCTCTTGACTGAACACACCCTAATACACGACTCACATATTTAATAGATTTTGTTAACATTTTGTTTCGATGGTTGTTATGTATTATTTAATAATATATCGTACTGTGTTTTATAGTATGGTCCTGTATTATTTTAATAAATACGATATTTAGATTGGTTGTATTACTTTCTGTCATTACATATTAACCCAGACAATCATATGGAGGTGAAAACTTATTTTTCTAGAGAATATGTTTTTAAAAATTTCTAATAAAATTGGTTTTTGGAAATATGTTTTAATCATCCAAGGATATAACTCGGTAGTCAATGAAGTGGTTGAGAGCAATGAAGTCTCAGGTTTAAATTTCAATGAAGACAAAAATATTAGGTGATTCTTCCCATCGTCCCTAGCTTGGTGGACAAAGTTACATGTTACATGTTGTTGGTGGTAGACAACATGTGAAATAAGTCAAGACATGCGAAAGGTGACCCAAACACTACGATCATAAAAAAAATAAAATTCTCCATATAGAAGACACAGTGTTTAAAGTGGTATTACATTATCTCGATATCTCCTCGATATCGATAATGATGACTGCTTAGGCATTTGACAATAGTAATTGTTAACAAGTTGTTGTGAATAATGTTTTAAAGTTCTGATGCATTATTGTTTTTAACATTTGCAGATGTGGATGCCACTTTTGTTACAAATGTGGAACAGATCAAATTCTTAATCCCAATCACCAATGCATAAAGTATAGTACCTTTTACTTCGAACCTGTTTCATAGAGGCAGATTTAATATTTGATATTTATAGGCTCTGAATTTTAAGATGTTGATTTGATCTATTAACATGATTTTTTGATATTTTAGTCGCTAAAATGATGGATTCTTGTTGTTTAATTATAGAAGTTGTCCGACACCAATTTATGTTGTTCTATAGTGCTATGCATGTAAAAACTATGGGCTAAAGTTGTTGAATTCAGCCGAATTCAAACATAATAACCTACATTTGTCCCTACCCCATCAGTACATGTACTAGACATAACTCTGATTATCAAGATTTAGTCTAGATAGAAGAAATACTGGAAAACGATTCTTGTCTTTCTTTAGAATGGAACACTCGACTTCTATGATTTTTAGTTTTTCACCTAGCTACTTCCACCATTCACTAAACTTACTTGTACGAAATAACTCAGCCTATCAAGATTTATGCTATATAGGAAGAGGTTACTTAGATGATTTTTGTCTTTCTTTAGAATTGAACACTCATTTTTCTGATTTTTTTAGTTTTTCACAACTACTTTCATAGTTCACTAGATCCTATCCTTGAGTACATCGTGATTGATTTACCTTTCTTCTTTCTATGTTTTGTGTTGTTATATGTGGCATGTCCATTAAGATTTTGTGCCATTATAGTACAAATTGATATATTTTTGCTCATACATGGAATTAATAAAACTAATTTATTTGAGACGCTCTTTATAATTTTCAGGTAAAGTAAATTGATAGAGTGAAAGAAGAAAATCTAAAGATGTGGTGCCATGAGATATTCAATTTGACGGTACTCTCTCATTGGGGCATGCCGACATTAATCTTGCGGCTGAGAACTATCTGGTGCGAGAGTAATTAAGATGCGAAACTTATAGAGCTATAGCTTTGTAATACTTTCTTCTCCAACTCACTCAATCGATAGGTTGAGGCAATCAACTTTTGTTTTTTTTTTCTTTTTCCTGATTCTTTAAGTTATTCAGATTATTATAGTGCCTTTTTCCTGTACAGACATTATAGATTTATTACATAATTGCATCTGAATAAAATATGATATTATTTTACTGTGCGTTTGATTAATTATTTTTATTACTTTGGAATAAGAAATTTTGAGGTTATTTATATCACATTCGTAGTATTAATCCTATGCTATTTTTTTTAAAACGTGCGATAATAATTTTGAAATTACTAAAAGAACCTTTTTAACAACCCAAATTGTAATTGTAACCACATGAAATACTTCGAGAGTGAATCTTAATTATCAGAATAATACTAAAAGAACAATACTTGTAATAATTATATATTTATATGCTATCTTTATCATTAGAATAATACTAATTACTAAAGGTTCCTTTTTATTCGATCCCAATAAAAAAAACTCCTACTAATATCATGCACAATATTCAAATTTCGAGATAAAAATTACTATTACTTCTTCTTCTTCTGTCCCTAATTATTTGTCCACTTTTGAATTGACACATCTATTAAGAAAACAATGATTAACAAAGTGAGTTTACCATTTTACATCTATCAATTATGAAATGAATGAATTAAAAACTTAGAATTTTTAATAAGTTCTACATTTTTCAAAGTAATTGAGGCTACAATAAGAATTTTTTTTTGTCCTTTCTTGATTTAAAAATAGATAAGTAATTAAGGACAAAGGGAGTACTTTTTAAAAGACGACATGTTTAATTTATAAATTTAGACTTGTCAATATAATCTCAACTTCTTATCTTGATGACGTGAATTTCAATTATTCAGTAATCGGATTATATTTCCAAATTTACACTTATCAAAATCTCAACTTCTCTTCTTAATGTAAAATTCAATTAGTCATATCACAAAACAAATATTCACTCCTAATAAAAAATACTCCTATTAGTTCCCTAGTATCTCATACTCAAGTTTTGAGGATAAAGTTACCTTTCGAAAGACGAATTTTATTTCTAAATTTTAAACTTATATTCATATAATTCTCAACCTTCTCTTTTCGTCAACTTAGTTCTCAATTAGTCAGATCATAAAGCGAGTATCAAACGTCCAATAAAAAAAATATAATATATAAATATGTCTTTTAATTTAGTTTTAGTTTACAATTAAGCCCTTCAATTTTAATTTTAGATGTGCACAAATAAATATTTAAACTTTTATAAAGTTGAACAAATAAATATATACATAAGACTTAGATGTTTACTTATTCAATTTTATATAAGTTTAAATGCCTATTTATGCATACTAAAAATTTTCGGACATAAATATAAATCGAAGTAAGTTAAAGCGGGCATGTAAAAAATAACAAAAAACCACACTCCTATTAGCATTTAAAGTTCAAATTTTTTCCTTTCCGAATCCCTAACGAATCTTATTCTCTTCTTCTTCTTCACCAAATACGAAAAAGAAAAATTGTTTTCTTCAGAATCGTAAAGGTTACTATAAACCTTTTCAAATTCTAGCAAATTTTCACTATATAAATATATATTCTTGCTGTTTAATGCTAAAAAGATTAATTTTTTTTACAAAAAATGGAAGTGGCAAATTCTTCTTCTTTGGGTGTGAAGATTATTGATATTGCTGATGATAACGATGATATTTTAGTCATATATGAAACCCCAAAAGCTTCAAAAGGTAAAAGAAAAAAGTTTATTAAACCAATTTCAGTAGAAAATTACTTTTGTTCAAAACCTAGCTGCAGTGGTACAAAAAAAGTGATGATTGATATTTCTGATGATGAAATTGAGTTTTTGGGTACCAAATTTGTACAAAAATCGAAAGGGGTTTCGAATATCAAGTCGATTGTTATCGATGATGATGATGATGTGAATGAGTTGGTTGATAAGTTGTTTACTTGTGATATTTGTGTTGATGAAAAATGTGTTAATGAAGTTTTCAAGATTATGGGTTGTAGTCATTCTTATTGCAAAGAATGTATGGCTAAGTATATTGGTATGAAGCTTCAAGAAAATATATGTCGAATTTCATGTCCTGTTTCGGGTTGTAATGGGCAATTAGAGCCGTATAATTGTCGTTCGATTTTGCCTAAGGAAGTTTTTGATAGATGGGGAGATGTGTTGTGTGAGGCATTGATTATGGGTTCGGAGAGATTTTATTGTCCGTTTAAGGATTGTTCCGCGCTTCTTTTGATTGATGAAAATGGTAAGAATTCTGTTGTGATTCAGTCCGAATGTCCGGAATGTAGGAGGTTGTTCTGTGCCAAGTGTAAAGTTGCTTGGCATTCGGGGATTGTATGTGAAGAATTTCAGAAGTTGAATAAGGACGAGAGGGAAAAAGAGGATTTGCAGCTTATGCAACTTGCTAAGGGTCAAGCATGGCAGAGATGTCCGCGGTGTAGGATATATGTCGCGAGAGCTGCTGGTTGCGCCCAAATGGTTTGTAGGTTAGCTAGTTAGTTACTCTCTCCGTTTCAATTTATCTGTTTCGTTTTGACTATAAGTTGTTTTAATCTTGTGGTCCTCTTAAACTAAAGATGTGTAAAATGTATGAAAATACTCTTTAATCTTGTGGTTTTAAGCATGTCATGTAAGTTAGGACTAAAAATTTGCCAAAAAATGAAAGGGACGTGCTTTTTGAAGTCGAAGGAGTATATGGTTTTTGTGATCAAAGATGTCTAAGCTTAGATGTTTTAATCTATTTGCTCAATATATGTTATTTGCCTTTAGTCAGAAGTAGAAGTGGAGGGTGCCATTTGCTCCACACTTTAGAAAAAGTAAAAAATTACGGATGATGTGAAAAAAGTACCTAAGGAGTGAGAAAGAATAGACATGGTTACGAGAACCGAAGTTTAGGCTGACTACTTTGGTAGAGCAACACCTAGGAAGATTTATCCCTACCCCTTGCCTTGTCTTGTCTTCCAGTGTTGCCAATTCCCAAGTACAAAGGGAAGACCGAAGCCATAATACAGGCGCGACCTCGAAAATTATCTACTTGTTTATAAGAATTTGATTGCTTGTAAGCGTACACACATCTCTGATTTGCCATGTCGACTGATGAAGAGGGTCGGTGCAGAGAGTTGACCGAAGCAAAGGCAGCTATGTGTGTGTATGCGTATAATTAGTTGTGTTAAATTCTCAACTACAGCCCCTGTATCATTAGGATTTTCAATTTTATCCTTGTTCTGCTGCTGGCTGCAATGAAATCTTGCGTGCTTGTAATTACATTGTTCTTTTAAAGCTATGATAAATCTAGCTAAGCAAAAATGCATAGTCTGCTCTTTTATTTTCAATAACCGTCACATATTTTGTTTATTTTTGTTGGCGATTCTACAAAATCTTTGTTGCTAATGTTCTTTGTTACGCTAACAAACAATAAAGCCGATAACTTGGATGCTTCAATTCCACTCATAGGCAATATGGTTTAATGCTGACTTTATCTTTACGTAGCCAAATTGTGATGCATTCGTTATGTTAACACTTGCAGGTGTGGATGTGGCTTTTGTTACAAATGTGGAGCTGAGTCAACTAATCACCATTGCAAACGCTGTGGTACTTAAAGACGTATTTCGTTTGAACTTATTAGTATTGTTCTTTCTTCTTTTTGTTCCCAAAATTACGAGTCCTCTGTAGATGTAGCACTCTGCTTAGAATATAATTGCGAGTTTTACTCAGTGATCTCTTTTCTCAATCTTGATTAGATCTTAAATGGATATAGTGGTGATACATGAAAACCTGTCCATAAACTATGTTTCTCAGACTTTCCAAAATTGTTGTTGCAACGTGCACCCATGTCGGATTCTCCAAATACACTACTTTTAAAGTATCCGACATGCAACTGTTGACATTTTTGAAGAGTCTGAGGAACATAGTACATAAATATGCATACATATATTTCGCCATTCTTGGAAGATATTTCATATATATCGTCTTCCGGGCAAAAGGAAACTAATAGAACTAATGTTGAGATGCTCTTTTGTATTTTCAGGTATATTGAACGGATTGTAGATATCTCTCCAGAGGTGCAAATGCGCGATTTCTAGTTTTTTTTTATCGTCGCTCTAGGGGTATTTTAGTGATAGGTTCTTATTTTACTCAACTTGTGGATATAGATTTTCAGATTTGTGACTTAGAAGAGATGACTAAATAAATAGCTCAAATGACTTATCTTCTAATCATTTGTATGAATGTTGGTTATTGATTTGGTAGCTTAGTACCTAAATATACAAGAACTATGTTTCAGTCGTAATCAATGAGATCGACTATATGAATTTTCATTGATCAAGTTATTTTAAAATTCTCTTAGGGCTAAATAATAAAAATAAATCAATGCAAGTTCTTTTGCCTCTCTTATCTCCTACTTTAATATAGAAATCTATGTGTCAAAAATACCCCTCAACTTCAATTTATTAGTTGATTATAGCCCTGCCGTTAAAACAAAGTTATTTATACCCTTGTCGTTACTAATTTCACCATTTATACCCCTCAATTGACGGAAATCCCCAAACTAACTCAAATTAACCAATTTTTACTTAAATTGCCCAATTTTAACCCGACCTGACCCACCCAATAATATAGCCCATTTTGTTCCATCTTCATTTTGTTCATCTTCATCCTTAAAACTTGTGTTCCTTTTCAAAAACAATAAAATCATCCAACACAACCCAACAATATCGAAAATAATGTAATAATGGCTATGAGCCCAAAAACACAAGAACACAACAATGATTAAATACAGATAATCGGAGCATTATTTTTCAGTCAGATCTAAAAAATTGTCTGAATTACTGGAGCTTGGAGCTCTAATTCGTCGTTGATGATTTCCTCCGGTCTACCGGAGTTAGGATTTCACGGTGGTGGCTGGACACTGTTAGCGATGTGGGTCTGGATGAGAGAGCAGAGAGCAGAGTCAGTTTTCCATGTTTGACCAGTTCTTGGAATCAGAGAGGAAGACCTAGCTCTATCGATCAAAATAAAATAAAATAAAAAGGCCACCAGACTGAAGTTAGAGATACAGTTCATGTTTCAAGTAATTAAAATGAAATTTTCAATTGGGAATAGTTGTATCAGGGATATTAATATATACCAAAAACTATACTAAATTATTAGTACTAAAAAAAGGAACACATACCTCTTTGGAATCTTCTTATGCCTCGCATAGTTCACAAGGAACCAGCCACCAACATTGAACTTTATATCGAGCAGGTATGGGAAAAATTATAAATAGATGAATAGTAATGCTTATGTATCAACCTATGTCAGCTTAAGAACATTATTGGGAATTTTTCGGAAGAACTTAAAGCTACGGAATCCACAAGTTTAAAGATGAAGATGAAGATGAACAAGAATGAAGATAGAACAAAAATGGGTTATATTATTGGGTGGGTCGGGTCGGGTCGGGTCGGGTTAAAATTGGGCAATTTAAGTAAAAATTGGTTAATTTGAGTTAGTTTGGGGATTTCCGTCAATTGAGGGGGTATAAAATGGTGAAATTAGTAACGACAAGGGTATAAATAACTTTGTTTTAACGGCAGGGGTATAGTCAACTAATAAACTAAAGTTGAGGGGTATTTTTGACCCTTTTCCCTAAAATATATTTATTTATACAAATCTACGTAATGTAATTTTCTGACGAATGAGATTAAGTTAAACCCCCTTTAACAAAGATAACTATATCGTTGGCATTATCTTTTCTGCCTATGATTGAAAAATAGTTACTATCACGGACTTTTAAATTGCATCTATTAAATTTTATACGTAATAGAGTTTCACGTATTGAATTTGAAACTTCATGACAATGACTTTTTTTTAATACAGAATCGAAAAATCCATGGTAAACAATTTAAATAAATGTAACTAGTTTGTCCCTCATAAATATAAATAATTGAGAAAAGGGATCTTTTATAATTTGCGAGTTAACTAAGGCGATCAAGATGGAAATCATCAACAAAAACATATAGAATAAGGTATAAATTACAAATTGCTCCATTTAATTATGATAAGTAGCCCTCTAAGTTATTAGTACAACTCACTCCTATTTTCCCAAAAACACTTGAAACAAAAGTACAAAACACATAAAAAAAAACTAAAAAACCTTAAAAGTAAAGTAAATGTCTTCTAAGTACCACAACTATTGCAGTAGTGATCACTTGAATGAGCTCCACATTTGTAACAAAAGTTGCATCCACACCTGCAATTGTGAAAAGACACCAATGATGTATTTAGTTTTCAGTATACAATCGATGATCTATATTACTCGTACTCTTTAAATATTCAAATTATTTCTTATATATGTGTCTCTAGGTCAATATTTAAGTTGGAATTTTAATTGTAGAGCAATGTCTTGCAAAAAATTCTATCTACGGCACTAACGTTTGGAGGATACAATAAGTATCCGATGTGTGAAGGTGGATTACACAAGAATCAAAATCGGAATAACACAACGTTTCATGGACTGAAAATTGCTAATTTATCTATTTAGAACTAAGGGAGTTGTATATAAACCTATTAAAAAAGAAATTGTGTACTATATATCGGAGTTTTTCGCCGAAAACTTCCTTAAACTATACCCCAAACTTAAATTACAACCTTAAAATATAATTTTTTGGCAAAAAACATCCTATAAGTATTTGAAAGTTAACAATTTCCATCCTTCTACATTATAGTTTAAGATGATTTTGTGAGATACAAGCGATATGTTATCACTTGTGTGAACCCCTTGTATTTCGAGTGAATTGGTTGATGTTATTTCTCTCTATATTTTGTACTCTCATGTTTATATAGTGAATTACTCATCTCTTTTGTGGATGTAGGTCGGTTGACTGAACCACGTTAAATCTTTGTGTCTTTTGGTATATTTCTCATTTGTCTTCTTATTCATGATCTTTCGAGGTTTGTTTTGTTAGCTTCTGCATGACACCTAATTATTTCGATCCTAAACATGGATTACTAGATGCAACTCTCAATGAACACATTGAGACTATTGGAAATAACAATAATATATAGTAATAACATAATCAGTTCAATTTCACAAGTGAGATCCAAAGAGGGTGGTGAGTACACATTATTACCCCTACCTTACGAAAGTAGAGAGACAATCTCCGATATAAAACATGAAACTAAAAATCATATGGACTAAATAAACTAACCTGCATCTCATTTGTGCACAACCTTCTGACCTCCCAACATACATCCTACAACTTGGACATCTTTGCCATTCTTCACTCTTAACAAGTTTCATAAGTTGTAAACCTTCAATTTCCCTTTCATCTTTGTTCAACTTCTCAAATTCTTCACACACAAATCCTGAATGCCATGGAACTTTACACTTTGCACAAAACAACCTCTTACATTCCGGGCATTTCGATTGAGTTATAACAACAACCATATTTTCTACACCTGCGCATTCATCAATAAAAAGCGCGGAACAATCTTTAAACGGACAATAAAATTTCTCGTACTCCAAAATCATAGACTCACACAACACATCTCCCCACCTAACGAAAACATCGTTAGGCAAAATGGAACGGCAATTATGCGGTTCCATTTGCCCGTTACAACTTGTAACGGGGCACGAAATTCGAGAAATGTTCTCTTGGAGCTTTGAAGATATGTACTTAGCAATGCAATTTTTGCAATAAGAATGATTGCAGCCTAAGATTTTGAACATATCATTAGTAGCAAATTTCTCATCAACACAAATATCACACGTAAATATGTCACATTTTGGAATTGTGACTTCCATTGAAGCTTAATTATTTTTTAAAATCTTTTTTTGCATTAAGCCACAAGAATGAATATAAATGGAATTGATGATGAAGAAGACAAAACGTTTTTTTTTTTTTTTGGAATTCCAAATGGATAACTCTTTCAACTTCTATATATCCAGAAGTTATTTTTTAAAAGTTTATATACACCTCCCAGTATAAATAAATTTATATTTACATGTCATTTAAAGAGTATCTATGTAAGTCTTCTTAAAATATGAGTTTCGTAATCTTAAAAATAAGACAGATTACCTGTTATAACACATAAAATAGAGCTAATAATATAAAAAAATTCTTATCAATATTATTATTTTTACCCTTAAATTTTAGATATAATTCAAATTTTAGTTAAATCTCTTTTTTTTTTTGGTAATTAGTTGGACTTTCAAAATATATGAAAATCCTAAAAAAATAAGGGTAAGAGAGTTTTTATAGAAAAGGAGAAGATATTTTAGAAAATCCTTCATACCAAATACAGATGTTTTCATAAAAAGAAATCATTAACACTAGTAGCATTTGAATTTAATTGGTTCTGAATCTTACAATAACGACTTCAAGTGCTAATAACTGAACTCTTAATTTAAGATCTGCACATATTTAGAAAACTTTACAACACAAATAGATTGATACAAGACTTAGGACGGACGTACTACTTGATTCAGCTGAACTCATAAGTTGCCTTCTAGCTCCGCCCTTACTCAAGCACATTGTTAAAGGAAATATGATAGTCCTTCACTTTTCAATCTGAGTGGTATTTTTCAGCAGAACAATCAGCTAGGACAGGATTTTGTAACCTTTTTCGCCAAGATGTTGTAGTTAATCACCATTTGGCTTGATCAAAATGGTCTCTATTGAACGTTCTTTCCTTAAAATCTTCACGATTGTAGACATGGTTGGTCTGAATGGCGGTGAGTCTATACATTGGATTGCTAATCTTAGAATCATCTCTGCTTCTTCCCAGTCGTAATTCAGAGTTTGATCGACTAAATCCATTAGAGTTCCCCTCCGATTCTTTATTTGTGCCTATAGTAGTCGAAACAAACCAATAACTTTGTCTAGTTTCCTAAATTAATGTACATTACTATTGCAGTTAATCGAGTCTCACTCACCTCATCAACGAGGTATTCAGTGTCACCACCTGCCCTCGGGGTCTTGATTTTCATTCCGCTGACAAGTATAAGCATGACAACTCCAAAGCTATACACATCCGCGCTGGCTTCTAAGGCGCGATCTTTAACTTCAGGCGCGGAGTATGACCTGCAAAAGGCTTCCATTACTGAGAAGTGCAATTGTAATAGCCAATGTATACAAAGTTTTAACACACCTAAAGTATTACTAATTTGTATCTGAAAGAGAGTGAAAGGTCAAAATAACACCTAAAGTATCCAGGTTTTTCGAGTTTCCTACCTGAACGATCACCAGCTACCTGAATGATGATGGTGATATTTAAGGTAATAGTTGAGGTGTGTTTTGGTAAATAGTTGGTGATAGTTCAGGTAGGAAACTCGCACACCTTTTAGTTCAGGTATGAAACTAAGAAAACCGGGATATTTTAGGTGTGTTTTTGGCTATTAACTCTTTTTGAAATATAATTTGTTAGTGTGTTTCCTTACATTGTTCCTTCTGACTTTTGCTTGTGATAAAGCTTTGCAAATCCAAAATCGTATATCTTCGGATTCAGATCATTATCAAGAAGAATGTTCGCTGGTTTAATATTCCCGTGTATAATTTCAAGTTTGGACCCCTCGTGAAGAAAAGTTAAACCTTCTGCTAGCCCAAGACAAATTCTATATCTTGTTGGCCAGTCTAGTCTTGCTCTTATAAGTTCGTCTGAACCTGTAAGTAGCCAAAGCTCGACGTTTAATTTGTACAACTAAATTCTTTACTACAACTACAGAGGCTTAATGAAGAAATTTTTCATAAATGGAAGACGTTACCGAATAATGCATCTTCAAGAGATTTAGTTCCAATGTACTCATAGACAAGCAGAAGTTGGTTCTTTCCTGCACAGCATCCCATTAGTGTAACAAGATTTGGATGTTTCATGCCAGCAATTGTACGACTCTTTTCCACAAACTCGTTCATTCCTTCTTTTGTTGTCGAAAGCTTTTTAACTGCAATGGCAGTCCCATCCAAAAGAGTGCCCTGGATGTTGGTAAAGTGTTTTAGATGATGAAATTGTGAATCAGAGAAACAAAATAATTACTCCTTCCGTTTCAATTTGTTTGTCTTACTTTACATTTTAGTCTATTTCAAAAATAATGTGCCTTCCCTTTTTTGGTAACTTTTTAAATTCTAACACCTGACATGTTTAAGACCACAAGATTGAAGGGAATTTCAGTACATTCTATATATCTTTATCTTTAGTTTAAGATTACATTATTCAAAAGTCTTCTTTACTTTTTAAATTCCGTGCCAAGACAAAATAGGCCAAATAAATTGAAATGGAGGGAGTATATATCTAGATGTCCGGTCATCCAACTAGCAAACGGAGAAAGGTTGTGCATAGTGCAGCTACACAATATTAGTACTGCAACTTTTGTCATGAGAGAATATCTTTTCGGAAAGAAAATGAAGAATACAAAGGCGGACTAAAACTGTCAAAGACATATCACAAAGAACACAAAAAATCATAACCTGCAATGAGTTAAAGATTCTAGCTAACCTCGTAGACGGTCCCAAAACCTCCCTCACCAAGCCGGCGGCCATCATGAAAATTATTTGTGGCAGCTTTAATTTTCTGATAGTTGTAAAGCCCTCCAGGGTAGAATTCAATAAGTTCTAGCTCTATATCAGCACATTATTAGTAAATAAATATCAGTTGAGTGGAAAACAGAAAGAAAGTAAAGAAGCTTACTACAAATAAAGTGTCTTATGATTCATATGGTGGTAATTAAAACCGATAACTAGATAAAAATGTATCTTGGGCTTAACTCAACCCCAAAAGCTAACGACCAATGTGGGACAACTTAGCACCCCTCCAACCTATGCCCAAGCTTACCAACGGGAGGGTGGAAAACATAATATGGGGGCCTAACATCGGTAAACTAAGAATTGGGATAGATCTGATATTGATGCCATGATAAGAAATGGATCTTGGGTCTCCTTTCCAGGATGGTAAAGGGCAAGTAAAGAGGAGAGATAACATTTTCAGATTTTGGAGATCGCCTCAAAGATTGCTTCGCTTCAAATCCCAATGGAAACCAAAATAAAATCCATAATAAAAGTAGTGTTACCTTCCCGACGTAATTTGTCTTGGTACATCCAGGAAAAAACAATGAACAATATTAGAAAAAGTAATGCAGATCCTGAAATTCCAACAAGCACTCCAAGGGACAGATGTGATTGATCTGGTTCATAAATTGTTACCATGAAATATCAGTCACAACATAGGGACAAAAACCATGTAAAATGGTAAACAGTCTGGGGTAGCTCGGTGCACAAGCATCCCGCGTTCACGTAGGGTCCGAGGAAGAGCAGCACCCAAAGGGGTGTGATGTACATAGCCTACCCCTAATATGAACATTAGTGTCTGCTTCCACGGCTCGAACCCGTGACCTATAGGTCACACGCAGACAACTTTACTGTTGCTCCAAGGCTCCCCTTCGTAAAACAGTGTAACAGTTGGACACAGAATGAATACCTAGAGTTACTGTAATTGCAGATATAAGGGGCCCATAGTTATCTGATGGGTATAAGATTGACCCTTTTCCAGACCAGTATAAGTGAATCTCGAGTAGATTGTTACGCACTTCAGCGGAATATTCCCTTGTTATAGGCTCATTCACAGCTTGTCGTTCTGCTTCTGCTTCTATGTTGAAGCTTGTCAGCACCTTTGTTCCCTGCATAAATATTCTGTAAAGATCTTCTATATGTTTGCGTACGGATCAACAAGGTGGTTTTGGTACCTTACCTGGATTTCTACATCAAAGACTCGCCTTGTTTTGCCATGCGAAAGTCTATATTTTCTACTAGATATTTCAGCAAAGTGAAGAATCACTTTGTACGTACCGGGTACCAAACAAAATCCATAATATTTCAAAGAGATTGAGGATAAACGTGCTGTTCCATACAATTCGGCATCACCAGTATGAACTTCGCATACATCATTTAGAGTGTACCTGTTACGTTTTGCCCATAAGAAGGTTCCCATACTACTATAGCCCCAATTTGAATTATTACTCATGAAGAAAGTTGATCCACCATTTTCATGTACATCAGCTTCATAGACATTTCCGTTAACTGATACAGACTCACCACCGCAGTTTATATACAAATGGTCATCTACAAATGGATACACAAATTTTAGTACATGGTGCATTTGAGATCTCAAAATGCGAGCAACTTTAGTGTGGAAACGACAAACTAGAAAAACAGCAATCTTATCACGAGTCATGATACTAACACATTTAACTATTGAAATAATTATGTGTGAAGTTAGTCATAAGGAACATAACATAAGACGTATACTGAAATCACTTCATGTGTGAAGTTGTTAATTAATACTTACCTAACTGAGCTCCATTCTTACAATGTAAATCAACTTGGTCCTGCTTTGCAACCCTAAATTCAAATTTATGCACAAAGTTAAGTATAGAACTCGGACCAATTTTCTTCCGAGACTAAATTATTTCTTCTTCTTTTTTTTCCTCTTAGTGGAGATACAGGTGGAGGAGCTTACTCTTCCGCTTCATTGAAGCAGCACGCGAACAGATTCCTGGTAAAGGGAAATATAATTGGATTCGGGAATAGAAAAGCTACTCAGAAGCACATAAATAAG